GGTTCAAAACAAAGTTGATTATTTCTCGGTTAGAGCAGGATGAATATTATTATTTAATAAAGGAAATAATATTGCTTTTTGCAAATACACATCACAGTATCAACGCTACTATTTTGTTACGTTTTGTTCCAAAAATGTTGGATGTCTCTGGGGAGTTGCTTGTCATGTCTTTAATTATGGAGTTGTGTGGTTATCGTGTTTCATTCTCAGTTCTGAACTTGCCAAGATTAAGAAAGGCAAAAGAGTTTGGGTGTTCCTAACACGATTTCAGAACGTTGCAGAAGTTAGAAAATTCATTCAATGTGAAGTTAGAAAATTCACAATTCCATTGTGACAGCATGTCCTAGCTAATTCAGAACTACGAACGATCCATGACGATCCTTCGCGATGCAGTGGTCTCATGAAATAAGGAAACGTATTCGTGCTGGGAACACATGCGGATTTCGGACGAATAAATCTTGCTTTTATTTTGTAGATAATAATACTTTGTTTCATAATAAACGATTTGTCAAGTGTCATTTATTTACTGGTAATAGTGCATGTTTCAGTCAGGCAAATCTTGATTAATATTTGATACGCCGTTTTTTGCATATTTCAAACACATCCAGAAATATGCTCCCGATTTTAAACATTGATATCTCTGTGAATTTTTTAGTGAAATACAACTGTAATGTATCAAAATCTAAGTTAGTCATTCCTCTATTTGATGCAAGTTATTTCTCATTAAAAGCTTTACTTGTTTAGAAGTTATTACGAATCAAACCGGAGTACTTTTTTTTGGGACACCCGGTATAATCAAGAAAACCAAGCTGATCCTCCCCAGATCAAAAAATAAGAAACTAAATGTGATTTAGGAGTTTCTATAAACAGCGAAACTATAAAACAAGTGAAAAAAACTACGTTTTTAGGGATTGTTATAGATGAATTTTTATCATCGTGCGATCATATAGATCTTATTTCAAAAACAATTATCAAATGTACAGCTATTATATCCAGAATACGACGTTTTACAAACCTAAATTCCTTAAAACTGATCTGTTACGCATTGGTCTATCCATATCTTATATACCAGGCTTTCTGGCATCCTTGTGTAGAAAAGTAGGACAAAAGTAGGATTATAATTTTAGGAAAAGTAGGAATAAAGTAGGAAAATGTGTAGAAAAGTAGGGCAAAAATAGGAGTTTTTGGAGATGCAAATAACACAAAAATGTACAAAATTGGCGCCCTAGGACATATGTTGTAAGTGGTGGACCATTCGATATCTGATGGGGAAGTTGTGTGAATTTTTGGTGCTCAATATTTTTTTGTGCCATTCATCTATGCAGGATTTTTTCCTCAAAACTTTTAAATTGCATCGGTATAAAAGCTAAGGCATCTGCTCTGCAGCAAACATAATTCAAATGCATTATGCTTGCGAGTGCATGTATTTGGCTGCACCATACACTAATTCACACTGTGCGGCAGGAGCATATGATGCTTGATTAACTGGGGGGGGGGGGGGGTGTTGAATATGTGGAATCCCTAGATCGTCGGAAATGGCACTTTCAGAGTCTTCATTATTTATTGACTATGATTCTAAAGATGCTATCAAATTTTATACTCGGAAAATGTACTTCTTCTCTTCCTGAGATCTTATCATCTGGGACACAAATAGGGAATAAAAATTACGAGTCCTATAGATCTAATTACGAAAACTATAACATACTGATTCCCCAAGCTGTGTTAAAAAAGTAGGATTTTATGAGAAAAAGTAGGAAAAAGTAGGAAAATCAAGCAATTTTTAATAAAAAATAGGAAATGTAGGAAAGTTGAAGAAAATTAGGAAAAATAGGATGGCAAGAAAGCCTGTATATACTGTAATTTAGTTTGGGTAACGCTTACAAATCCCACATTCAAAAATTAGTAAATATCCAGAAAAAGATAATAAGACTAATGACCTTCAAATCCTATTTTGACCATACTGAACCAATTTTTAATAATACTAAACTTGTATAAAATACTAAACTTGTATAAATTGAATGATTTTTTAACAAGTCTATTTATGTTCCGATATTTTTATCTACAAAATCTTCCAGAAATTTTTAATAAATATTTTTTAACTAACAAAGAAATCCATAATTATAACACAAGAAACGCATCATTGCTCCACAAAAGTTGTACCAGAACAAATGATAAAAAACACACGCTCGGTAATAACGGCATCGATGTGTGGAATAATCTTCCAACGCAATATAAGCAAATTAGATCTCTTCCAATATTTAAATCGACAATGAAATTATATTTTCTTCTGTCAAATTTAAATTCTTAGCACAAAGTGAAAAACCAAATAGTTGTTATAGTCTAATATATCTTTATGCGCTTTCCTTATTGTAAATATATCACCGTAATTCTTTTGAAAACAATTGGACTGGTATTAACTTTTAATATTATATTATTTGAATTGTAACTAGGGACCTTAAACAAAAGCCTTATTGCTTCTAGAAGTTTCCTATCCCTACCATTGTAAATGTTTTTTTTATTTAAATTGTTAATTTTATAAACTGATTTGGGCGAACATTAAATAAATAAAATAAAATAAACTATTTCATAATTTCAGGTTATTCAGTACGTTGTAACGTTTTAATTCTTCATTTGTTTCCAATGTTCTATATATAGTACTCCATTCGAAAGCTGATCATCACCAATCGCTCCGACTGCTGTACATCCCAACTTTCGAATTTTGAGATAAGGATTGGCTTATCTCTGAATAACAATGGCAACTCTAATCCCACATGTGGTGGAAAACATTCACTGAGCACTGTAATCACCAAGAGTATCACGTGTCCACAGCCCATGATGGGAAGATATGTAAATATTATACTTCCTGGACCACACAAAATTCTTACATTATGTGAAGTGGAAGTGTATGCCTAAAGGTCTAAAACGTTTTCTGATTGAAACTATAGTGTTGAACGTATAATAATTAAACATGCTTGTAGAGTATATTACGGTATAAAATTATAAAGTGTAAACTACTGTTATATTCCACAAAGGCTTAACCCTAAATTTCCTCAGCCAATAACTGGCTAAAATGAGTTATTATAGGTAAGATATTTTAGTTATTAACCTCCCTCCAACTAGAAAACACGTGTACACTACACACGTAAAAATCTCACAACTTGTCAACAAGATGTGTTCGCAACAGGCAATTACAATTTTAATATGACATTGAAAAACGGATATCTTTCGAAATCCGATTTGCTTGGAATGATTTTTTCGAAGTAATTCTTCAATAATCGATCATATAACGTTATCACGGATGATCTTATTGAAATACCAGCTTTCAAAAATTGACCATGTAGGTTGTGTGGATAATGTCGCAATATATAATTAATTCCACTGTTCGCAGAGCTGATTTTGAACACAGTTCTTTAATTGTGTTTTGAAGGGTTAATTCATTTGAAAATCAAACATCATGTCTGATGTTGAACTGTACCTCACCACAAATCCTTTGACTTTGTCTCATAGATATCTTATATTCACTAGATAGTGCATCTAATTATTTTGCAATTCAAAAATTGAAGCCGTGATTGCAGACTTAGGATATTCCCATTAAATGAGAAGACTCGTATGTTTTCTATTTCTTAAACAGGGAACTTAAACATTAAGTTAAACCTATTCCAAATACATTTTCAAACTATTCAAATGATGAAAGTTATTGTTGTTTTTTAAGCGTTTATTAGCGAGTGGGAAACTCCAATATGGCCGCCATCTATTCAAATGGGGATAACAGCTGGAATATTCTTGGCTTCAATTTTACTAAAAGAGATGCGCTATCTAGTGTATATAAGATATCTATGCTTTGTCTCAACTTGACTGAAATTTTCATCGTGCATGCATGTTGCACGTGCCATCCTTATTGGACGTTTACTTAATTACAGGAAAATACAATGAGTTCAATCACCATGACCGTGCAGAAATTAACATAAACTCAGACAACAACACAACACAATGCCTTCAGCTTGGTTTCCAGACAATTATACTTGAGAGACTATGTCCACTCTTTTGACCATTTTCCAATTTAGCAATTACAAAATTAATAAATTCGACATGCATCTCGTAAAAGTCGATTAGGCAATAAAAAAATTCATATTTTGTAAATATGATTTGGAACTAACCTCAGTAAATCGATAAATGGCGGTGAGCATTTGATATAAAAATACCCAATTCTGATTGGACAAGAGCATGCATGCACTTCAATTGGGTTTTTTTAGCAAAAAGAGAGAAAATCCTGTAGAAATTACCTTCTAACAAATAGAATCTTATTTTTTGGCTGACCTATGCAAGGAAACTGATCAATAACACCCAATTGGCTCATTTTCGCTGAACATCTGCATTGCAAATGCAAGACGCTGCTGGTATTCAGTGAAGATCGCTGCGCCCTTTTGTCAGATATGTTTTAACCGGTTGTCAAAAGGCGTGCACACTAAAACTAAACACAATAGGTACATGTATTCATTACGTCTCAAGGAGCTGAAGGAAGAAGACAGAACTTGCTTGGAGATTAAATTTTCAAAGTGATGTCTGCCAAGATTCTGTAGGAAATCCTGATTTTTTCAACATGGCTGAGTTTGGCTTCTGGTTTATCGCAAAGCGACAAGGTATTTGATCAGAAAATGCAGTAGGTGACATTTTTACCTCCGCCAGGAGGTTATGTAATCATCTGGGTTTTTACCTCCGCCAGGAGGTTATGTAATCATCTGGTTACCTCCGCCAGGAGGTTATGTAATCATCTGGGTTTGTTACCTCCGCCAGGAGGTTATGTAATCATCTGGGTTTGTGTGTGTGTGTGTGTGTGTGTGTGTGTGTCTGTGTGTGTGTGTGAGCACGATAACTCAAGAAATACCAAACATATTCATACGAATTTTTTTGAGTGCATTTCCCATCGGCTAAGGAAGAACTGATTAAAATTTGGTTGAATTTGGTTAAAAATTGAACGACAAATGAACAAAATTTTGTCTTGCTTTTCCCGGTCAATTAAAAAAATATTACTGAATGCATAATTAGGACGTGTATAATTTATGCACGCAGTACTAAGACAATAATGAGATGATAAACCTCATTAAGCTTCGGCCTTTATTATCTATTGTCTTAGTTGCATTTCACGCGACCGAAATTCAATGTCTAAAACAAGGCTTACGGAGTTACGCATTATTACGTTCAGCAAAGTGCCAGTCCATTCAAATTCTAACAACATTAGATTACTTCAATGCAGGGTGTATAAAAAGAACGCAACCTCGGAATTTCCCAAGAAATCGACATTGTTTTAAAGACAAAAGATTTTAGCTGCCTGGGAATTTAAAATAGCACAACTGTGAAAATTACTGCACGCGCGAGTGCATAAAGCAAAATTTATGCATTTATTTAATGACACTTTTATTTTACAGTATAACAACAGTAATATGATCTATTAGCAATTCGATTTCAATTCGCGGGGGCCTAAATCTTTTATGCTTAAGAATTATAAAGTGGATTTCTTAGGAAATTCCAAGGTTGCGTTTCACTTCCGAGTAACGGGCGGAGGTATGCAGTCTCTGAGTGCCTTCTAGTTTTATGAATGTTTCTTATGTTATTTAAAATTTAACGCTAACAGAATCTCTTATTGTATATTATGATTGTGAATTGTATGGAACCGTATTTCTCTATAGTAGATATATCTTATTTCTTTGATAGATAGTGTATTCACAATAACGTTTTCAGATATTGCCTGAATTATATAATTTAAATGCACATATATAGCTACACATATACGTACATCAGTTCTATAATTACTGATACGCTTTTATATATAGAATTACTAATAATAAAACTGTTAAAACGGTCTGTCTTAACTGTAGGTATTGAAAATGTACGCCCTATTCCTTAAATTTCCCGAGGAGCTGTGTACAACTGGTAGTAATTTATGAAATTTATGAGTCTCGTTCAAAATTTGTTGAAAAAGTTTAGTAAGTTGCAGTCGCTAATGCCTCTTGGTACGATGCTGAAGGATATATTATACGCATACCAAGTTTTTGAATTCCCTCAAGATCGTTTAAGAGACCAGGTAGATTGTCATGAAAAACTAGATAAGCAAACTCCGTCAAGAATCTACTATATAATAACGTTAAGAATTCAAGCGCTTTTATTGCTCGAGAGCCATGATCTATTAGAGGAGACGCACGGAATTACGTCACACAAAACCTTATCCAATAGCATTCCCCTATTTGTGTAGATCGTGTACCCATGATTCAAATTTCAAAATGTTTAATGTAAATGATAAAAAGTAAGCTACTTACCTGTTTAATTCAGGGTTTTCTTTTTATTATATGGCGGCTCGTGAACCACTTTTCTGTTCTTTCCACATTATGACGTCACACTGTGTATCTATAACTGAACAGACAACGGCAAAATCTTATCTATTTGTTAAATACACGATTTAAAAAATTGGACTAGTTCTTTAATACCTACTTTAGAGTGTCCTAACTGAGTTAAAAAATAGAGTCGCTCAGATGCTTTCTTTACAATTGCGGAAACATGTTTGTTCCCCATATGTTATGATCACATTTTGCGGGTGCTTGTACTATTATAGTTATATATGGACACGATATTATATGGTTCTATTATCATTTCTTCTCATATAGTCAACTAAGAACGAAAACTGTCAATGAGCATGGGATCGATCATGCAACTTTCAAACATACACAACTATCATCCTCGTCGCCAGGGTCTCTTGGCCACGCGCGTCCGCCCTAATTTTCAACAAGTGACCGAGTGAAAATGGCTCAGCATGGGGACGAGAATGACACAACAAAAAATGGTGTATGAAGACAAAAGAAATATATGAAGACAAAAGAAATATATGAAGACAAAAGAAATTTTGAAAAAGATTTATATACAGGTGCAAATACAACGCAGAAATGAGCACAATAACCAAAAAAGCATGAATACTCAAATAGTCTTTTGAGACTGTCACTATTATGAAGTGTAATATATAGTTATGTATGTTTCATATAATCCTGTAAGCCTACTGTCGACTCTGACGTGCGACGCCTACTAGAAATCTTTAATTCATATCAATCTGAATGACAATATAGGATTGATGCCAAAAACATAATGCTGCATTTTTTGACATCCAGTATAGAGGTCAGCAATTTTCCAAGGAAGCCAAAGGAAGCAAGCAGTGTTGGGGGATGCATGCATGAAACAGATTTAAAAATGATAGTGTCTCATTTTCTATTAACTAGGTTTAAAGATAGCCTGACCATAAGGATCGTAATCTTCGTTTTTGGACAAGTACAATAAAATATGACACCTGTTGAGTGTGTTTACTCAAATCATTGCCTTCCTTCCTAAATATTGGTGCTTTTCAAGCAATCCCACGCGATTTCAACTCAAACGCAGAGAGAAGCCAAGTAATGAGATTCTAATGAGACTCTTTGTGTAAATGCCCTCCATGTGCACTGAACTGTACCATGATGAAAGCCACCTGTTATTAGGACTGCCGTCCTAGTGCAAAATATTACATCTATATGGAGTAATAAAATTTTCTTTTCCATGACTATATTTCAGAAGTTTTCCAAATGCAACATTGGCCAACACCTCAGCCACACAGACAGAACTGGGCGAGTGAAATTGCTGATTTGTACAGAAAAAATTAAAGGCGTTCCTCAATGGAAATTTGTTGACGGTAAAGAAACAAACGTTTAGTATGACCCAAACTGTTTTATGGAAATTTGCATGAGCTGTTGCACATGCGCCCAACTCACACAATCGGTCAGTTTAACCTTCTCTGCATTCCTGCGTCAACGAACCTATGTCAATTCAAAACAGCGTTGTAGGCCTCTTAATGTCCACACTAGAGGTGTGTGTCGGATCGGATTGATCTCTTTGAATCCGATGGTTTGTCTAAATTCTCAATCCGAATCCGATGATAAAAAAATCTACTTTATTGTCATCGCTCAGCATTATATAGTATTACTCCGCTTCGGCCAAATCACTCGGCTTACTCGGCTTCCTGCTATAGAACTATCTTAATTTGTTAAAATATTCGAGTAATTCGACGCAATACAAGGAAAAAAAACAAATCCGATCCGATCCGACAAAAAACCTACAAAATCCGATCCGACAATAAAAAAAAGAAATCCGATCCAATCCAATCCGATACGAGGGAATTACTGTCCGAATCCGATCCGAATCCGATCAGATCGGATTTGCACACCTTTAGTCCACACGTTGTAACGTATTTCTTTGTAAATATAAATATTAAGTTTATTCTGAGTATGTAACATTTAATAGTATCTTATCACAGCTTCTCCGACATTGGGTGAGATATTCAACCCAGCTCGAGATTATTCTGATATTAAGTTCTTTGTATGTTTGCATAGTGATAAAATATAATAGTTTTGTTTGTGGAATTAAAGAAACAAATCCAAAGTAAAGAAAAGAAAATTCAAAGTCATGGAAACAAAACCAGCGTTCAAGAAAAGAAAATTCAAAATCAAGAGAACATAATTCAAAATCAAGAAACAAAAATTCAAAATCAAGAAAACAAAACCAACATTCAAGAAAAGAAAATTCAAAATCAAGAGAACATAATTCAAATTCAAGGAAAGAAAATTCAAGATCCAGAAAACATAGCCATCATTCAAGAAAACAAACTTCAAAGTCAAGGAAATATGATTAAAAAGCTGGAAAAAGAAATTCAAGGTAACAAAATAAAAGGATAATAAAAACATTAAGGTTATAGAAAATCAAACGTCCTAAAATTTTTAATTAAAGTTAAAATGAATCTCTCGTTTGCAACAATTTTTAAAATAATTAAAATTGAATAATTAGTTACGGTATCGTTTTTTCAAATTTTCTAACAGTAGTGAAAATTATTGTTATTACTAATGACACCGGAAGAACAGCTTGTGAAGTTAAAGTGATATAAAGTATAAAGATTTCAAAACAAAAACGAAAAATTGCTATTTTACAGATATTATAACCGCGCTAATATATGGCACATGTACATTCTCCAGCTTGTTCAATATTACGAAAAAAACGTCCCATTTAAATCCCGAGGGATTCAGTCCGGTACAATAACTGTTTTCAAAGCTCCACAGCACCACTACATCTACCCTGATGGAGCCAGAAGAGTATTAAGCTTGCGTGTCTCATGAATTATTCTTGAGTTTAACAGCTTTTAAAACAAACGAAAAATTATTATGTTTTACAGCTATTAACAAGCGTATTGACAGGATACATTCATCAACGTCTTGTTCAGCTTTGTTAATAAAACACCCTTCAACACCAAGTGGGATGTATTATATTAATCCCCAAGGACTATGTTCATCGCCATTGGTTCAAGTATATTGTGATATGACGTCAAAGAATGGTTTTGGTGTGACGGTGATTGGACATGACAGTGGATCAAGGACACTTGTGAAGGGATATGAATCTCCAGGTTCTTACAAACGAAAGATTAAATATGGTATTTTCATGGAACAAATTGTCGCCATTGTGAAGCAGTCCAAAAATTGTGAGCAGTTTATAAAATATGAATGTTATGGTAGCGGTTTGTGGTTCTCTACACAATGTGGTTGGTGGGTATCACGTCAAGGATCAAAGATGAATTACTGGGGTGGAGCGGCAGTCAACAGTGGGAAATGTGCATGTGGAATGACCAACAGCTGTGCAGGTGGAAGAAAATGTAATTGTGACAGGAATGACCGGACATGGCGTGAAGACAGTGGATATCTGACTGACAAGAACACACTGCCTGTTACTGAGCTGAGATTTGGAGATACTGGCACCACTAGTGCTGGTGAGAAAGGATACCACACACTGGGAAAATTGCGATGTTGGGGTTAGGTTATAGAAGAACGGATTTTGAGGGATAATACATAAACTGAAATTTCAAACACTCATTAATAATTCATAAGCTTATTGGCAAATCATATCAACCATAATATGTCACGTGCAGTGGCTTTGAACCTGATAAAACACCTTTAATTAGTATTCTTTATATAAAGAATACTAATAAGGCGGTATCTATTGTAGTCGTGTCCTCATTAGTATTCTTTATATAAAGAATACTAATCAGGCAGTATATCTATTGAATTTGTAGTCGTGTTTGAAGCCGTTTAATAAACTCGCAGGTCGTGTTTTATTAGGTCTAAAGCAGGGCGCTTAGCGCCCTGGTCTAAAGCCACTCGCGCTGCGCGCTTGTGGCTTTAAACCTAATAAATTAAACAGTACGTTACCACTTAGCAACACATACGATAAGTAATATTGAACACGTTCTTGGTAAAAGTGTCAATCAAAAATAGTTTAACACAAAAGTATAGAACTTATAGGACATAATTATCACTAACAATATGCGCACTGTGGATGGTTACCTGACTAAAAAAACTCATTAATAATTCATGAAGAAAAGACAAAGGAAATCACTGCCGTGTCGATGGTTTTATATGTGATAAAAAATCATGTTCATTTACATAAATTTCAGCTTTGATTTTCTCGGCTTAGACAATGTTTATTTTTAAAATTACTTCGCCAATGAACTCATCAGCTGTGTCGTTTTTTAAAGCCATTTAAAACACGAGCAGGAATGCTTTGGCAGATGTAAAACACTCAAGCTGCGCTCCCGGTGTTTTATATCTGATAAAGCACTCCTCCTCGAGTTTTAAATAGTACATTAACTTCGCGCTACATATTCAAAGTTAGTACCATGCTTAGTAATCAATATGGAGCTTCTTATAGATATTATTATATATATATATATATATATATATATATATATATATATATATATATATATATATATATATATACAATAATAAATCGTTGTCCGTTGTACAAAAAGAGTGCTCAATAACAAATTTAATTGATAGAGCAAAATATATTAATTATAATCTTAAAATTTTAAGATTATAATTAGTATATATATATATATATATATATATATATATATATATATATATATATATATATATATATATATGTATATATATATATATATATATATGTATATATATATATATATAAAGGGGCTATAATTCGGATTTTGTTGATGACCAGTTTGGTAGAGTGAGAAAAGTCGACAGGAATAATTTGTTAATGCGGAAAGAAGGTGTTAAGAATAGTAATAGGAATTGTTTTGTGATAGATTATCATCCAGCATTGAGGGTCCTTTACAATATCTTTAGGGAATTGCAAGTAATTGTAAGTTGGTCTGAAAGGTTTTTAAGTATTATGCCAGAACCACCAATGGTGTGTTTTCGTCGGTCTAAAACCCTTAAAGATCACTTAGTCCGTTCTAAATTGAGAAGGGAAGAGGAAACGGTCGTAGGGATGTTTAAGTGCGGAAAGAAGAAATGTAAAATCTGTGATAATGTTATTATTGGTGCTACTTTTAAAAGCCATGTTGAGGGGCGGTCTTTCTGCATTAATCATCGCTTCGATTGTGACTCGGAGGGTATAGTATATTTGATTAGTTGTAAATTCTGTGGGTTGCAATATGTGGGGAATACCATAACACCGTTCAGATTGCGATTTAATAACCACAAGAGTGCATTAAATAGATATGGGCGGGGGCAGAGAAATATTTATGGGCAACAATTGTATGCCCATTTTTGGGGGGAGGGACATTCAGGTCTAAGTGATTTTTTAGTGCAGGTTATTGACGTCACGGACGTTAATAACCCCACTGAGAGGGAGAGTTTTTGGATTGAGAAACTTAATAGTTATGTCCCACGTGGGCTTAATTTAAGGAAGAGGTTTAATTAATTTATGCATAGCTAAACGTTAGACTATTTAAGCAAGAGACGGAGATGATGTAGCGTTATTCTGAAGAAGGGGCTTGTCCCTGAAACGTAAAAATATAATTTATTTACTTTGAAGATTTATGATTTCTTGATATTTATATATATATATATATATATATATATATATATATATATATATATATATATATATATATATATATATATATATATATTAATTACAAAATTATATATATATATATATATATAATAATTTAACAATTATACCATGAGCTCGAGTCGTATATGAGCTGATAGCCGACGAGGTGCGTAGCACCGAGTCGGCTATCAGCCATATACGACGAGAGCGAATGGTATAATTGTTTTATAATATAGTCTAATAGCCATTAACTGAAGCAATAATTAATTATCCTCTGTTACAATGTCTTGACAATTTGTTCGGCCAAAAACCGCTTGGCCTTGAAAATTTGAAATACTTTTGTTTTACAACTCGAAGACAAAGTGAAAGAAATGGTTTTAGAACCGGTATATCTCACAGAAAAGCTCAGATATATTATACAGATGTTTGGTAGTATAGTAAGTGCTTGTTGACTGCAAATTCATTTGTCTTTCGTTGCAAACTTTTCTGAACAATTTATATTCTCAATGAACATGTTTTTTTCGCTGTTGCATGTTTCGGTATTAATTCTTTAAAAACTTGTATTTAAACTAATTTCTATGTAATAAATGTATTTTGCTAACCTGTCAAATTTTTTTGAGAGTTTTTCCTTGTACTATTATCTTTCTCAAGGCGAATATTTTCCTTTTTTCTGCTTCGCAAAACTCATGTAATTTTTGGACCGCCATCTTGTTGTTCGCTACTCGCCGTATATGGGCTGATATACGGCGAGTAATTCGACCAATCAGATTGCAGAACAGCTCATATATGGTGAATGACTATATTATAAACATAT